TGCAGCTGAGGGACAATGGGTCGGCATTTGAAGTCATTCACTGCAGGATTTAAACTGCGAGTAATTGAATATGCCGAGAAGCATGGCAAGTGCGAAACTGGACGCAAGTACGATGTAGATGAGGAGCGTGTGCGTTAATGAATGAAGTAGAAAGATGCCCTCGCTGCTACCTACCAAAGCTGAAAAGCCTTTCACGGGAAGAAGTGCAAATATCCAGAAAAGAAAGGCAACTTCTCGATTATATCATCGATACTCGAAGGGACAACTACGCCGTATCGACTGATACGATACGCGAGAAAGCCATAAACATCGCTCGCCACATGAAAATCCCTCAGACACAATTCAAGGCAAGTCGGGGATGGGCTATGCGGTTTATGAACCGCAATCAGCTCTCCATTCTCCGCCGAACGACGCTTTGTCAAAAGCTGCTAAGCGAGTACACAAGTAAAGTGATAAAATTCCATCGCTTCGTGAATGGTCTTCGGAGGGAGCACGAATATTACCTCTCCTGAATTGGCAATGCAGACCAGACTCCTGTGTGGTTCGATGCGCCAGAGAGCACCACAGTGGACTTGAAAGGCGCGAAAAGTGCGACTGTGCGCATGACCGGTGCAGAACGTCAAAGATGCACTGTGATGCAGTGCGTGACAACAGAGGGCAGGAAACTTCCACCGTACGTCGTGTTCAAGAGGAAGACTCGCCTGAAAGAAAAGTTCCCTCAGGGCACCATTGTGTGTGCCCAAGAAAAGGGTTGGATATGCGAGCAACTTGTCGTGGACTGGGTGAAGACTGTCTGGGCAAACAGACTTGGAGGCCTGCCACAGCGGACAGCCCTCCTCGTTCTGGACAGTTTTAGGGGCCACTTGACGGAACGCGTGAAGAACAGACTCGCCACGACTCATACAGACTTGGTCGTTATTCCTGGAGGACGTATGAGTCTGTTGCAGTTGCTAGACGTGTGCATCAAACGACCATTTAAAGCGAAATTTTACCACTGCTATTCGGAATGGATGGCTGGGGGCAATCATGAAAAGACGCCGACGGAACGGCTGAAGCGGGCATTGCTCCAACAAGTTTGTGGCGTGGCGTGCCATTTCATTTGAAATTGTCGTGAGAAGCTTCAAAGAACCAAAATTTCAAACTGCATGAGTGGCACTGAGGATGATCTTCTCTGGGAGGATGCCGATGTCGAGGTGAGTGTTTCCTGTGATCAAGACAGTGAGGGCAAAATGGAACCTTAACAAAAACAATCCTGGCTAGTCATTCGTGACTCTTTCACTCTGCTAGTGTTGTGAAAATGGTACAGACCTTTAATGAGCTGTCATCAGCGGATTCCTGTAAGGCGCCACACCAAGCAATATTAAAAAAAAAAAGTGCGGCCCTTACACGAGTACATAAGGTATAAATGAGTCTGCGGCCGACTTCTTGTAATGAGAACGGCTTACAATTCTCCTAATCAACACCACATGTGGATACAACAATCTAAACGTACTTTCTTCAATCATTCATTAGCAACGGTTCACCAAAATAGTCAGTGGTGAAAGAACAGCTTTTCGACAGACAATGAAGACTGCTTATGTGGCTATTGCAACTATGGCGGCGAGTGAGTAACCGCTGACCTGCAAGTTGCGAGATCGAAGACAATTTGAGAGGCCAATCCTGTGTGCCCTGCCCTGTGTGGCCATCAGGTACTATATGTCACAGAAATTGGATAAATGCAAATGCTCTAAAAAATGAGGAAGGCAACAGTTGAACCAACACGTGTAACAGAAATTTGTATGGCCTATCAGAAAATTGCTAGTACAGTCGAATCTCGATAACTCGAACTTGAGAGGGCACGAAAATTTGTTCGAATTAAAAGAAGTTTGACTTAAGGGGGCAGACTCCTCTTAGACATTTTTTGTTCATTTCTTCAGTGATCTTGATCAAACTGCACAAAATTATGCAGTTTTTTCTGCTGATTTCAAATGTTTAATTAGTTTTTCTGTAACTCATCTTATTCCTGAGATTACTTAAGTTCACCCCCTATTGTTTAAGGCCGCCATAGAAAAAAATGTGCTTAATTAAAAGTGATATTTAAAATATCCTAACATAGACTAATGAATATAGATTGAAATAATCCAAGAGTTTTTTTTTAAGCCTTTATTATTATTTTACAGCAAAATGAACTATCCGTTTTCAAAAGCAGTTGGAACTGTGTTAAAATTTTGATGAGTAATTAATTAAAAAGGCTTGTTCTCGAAATTCTGCTCCCATACTTGCACCCTACACACATACAGGTTTCCATTGCAAAAAGAATTATTGTTGTACCTGCTCTAGCTGCAGAGATATTGAGGCCTCAAAATTGAACAGTTGTAAATTTACTTTTTTGAGAAAAATGGAAAAAACTGAAAACACAAAGCTTCTTCAAAAAGAAACAATCATGGTGTGCATGTTTTGCAATCCTCATAAAAGTGCTCACAAATTCGTAGCAGAGCTTCTAACACAGGTGCCGGAAAATTATAAAAAGGCCTCGAAGTTGGTTCCCTATTTTTTGCAGGTTCTTCACGCTAACAGCACCAAGAATCTGGACAGTTAGATTGACTTCTTCGTGTGTAAAAATTTGCAGAGAGATAGCAAAATACTTGCAGATACCAAATGCGTCATATTCAAAAAATTATTTTTTTTGTCACTTTTTGGTCCCAAAGAGCAGTCTGCCCCCTTAATGAAAGCTAAATAAACGGAGGGCTCTCCATGCAGTGGCGCATGTGCATTGACCTAACACACGAGGGGGAAGTTTCAGAAGACATATTTATTCATAAATCACAGGACATCCGTTATTAATTGATAATCAGTGATGCGCATCTGCACACGCTTGCCTTGCAGCGAGTCAATCGATTTCGCACGTAGCTTGCAAAGCATTTTTACTTCGGCTTCAGCATTCTCCTGGCAAGAGAAGTTGCGCGCAGAAATGTTCAGCGCCGACACTTTCTAAAGACGACGACAACAACGACTGCGGAGCGAAGCCTCCCGCTCTTCGCCACGCAGCCGCAGCATGGCCAGCACGTGACGAGAAAGGAAGAGCGTCTCCACGCGGAGAGAAGCAGATCGGCATTTGAGAGAAAACCAACACACCACGGCAGCTTTTCTTTCTTCTTTTTTTTTTTGCTCTCTTCGTGTGCGTTGTTGAAAGGAGAAGCTTGGCACCGGCGCGTGAGAGACCCCCTTCCCCTCCTCAAGACGCAGAGCTGTGCTCCTGCAAGGGCTGCAGAAGATAGTGCCTTTTTCCTTTCCTTCAACAACATACTAATTCAACCCAGCGACGGCTTTTTTTTTTCCTTTCTCTGTTCGCGTGCGTCGTTGGAAGGAGGAAGGGTCTTTACATGGCAGGAACAGAAAAGGGAGAAGCGTGACACGGGCTCATCACAGATCGGCATTTGAGAGAGAGCAAATATTCCACCGCAGCCTTTTCTTTCCTTTTAATTTCCTTCACGGGCAGCCTTGAGGTGTCACAGGTGTCGCAGGTGCCCCCGTGGGATTGAGCGGGGTTTTGAGAGCAATTTCGGAGCGCGGTATGTTCGAATTAACTGTCGGAAGTGCATGGGCGTTCAAATTACCGGGCGTTTTCGCCCATTGGAATACACACAGCTTTGACGGGACTTCATCGTGAGTTCATATTAACAGGAAGTTCGAATTATTGAGATTTGACTGTATCATCATGACTATGTGCCACAGAAATTTGGCAAGTACCCTCACTCACCACTGGTCCACTAAAAAGAAGCCAACAGCACAACATGAGGGAATGACAAAAGCAACGACGGCTGCTAGAATACCCCAGAGCGATGTAAGGCCTTCATCAATGAGGACCTACCGGCAGATCCATGAGAACGCTTGGTTTCAGCGCGAGTTTCTCTCTCTGGAATTTGTCGTGTCTGCGACTTCTCTGTGCTGAGAATTAAAGCAGAAACAACCAAGCATCACCTAGCTAAGGCCTAGTGATGATCTAGAAGCAACCAAATTACTTTTCAGAATCGTTCAGTTTTGCTGTGTCAAGCCTTGCATGGTCTAGTGCACACTTCGCTAATTTTCACAGCAGGCATCTGATCTTGCACATTCAACAGAGACCGGTAGCTTAAAGAATGACTGTCATACCACTCTAGGCAGCACCCAACATTTTGGTAGCAAGCTGCCGAGGTGAGATGTGTTCACACTGATTATCACTGCTGTGTTGAATGTGCATTTTTTTGGCTTTACACATGCTGCACAGTCACTCAATGAAGACTTGGTTTATGCAGCAGGTCTCAGGCTCACCAAAACAGGATTCTTTTGTTACTGACTCTAGTTTTTTCATGCTGTTCTATTACTCGGACATTTCTAGTGGAAATGTCAATGTAACAATGAAGATGACTAATCTGTTGCTAATTATACAAGAGTTGTCAAGGTTCCGAAGGTGCTGCAGTCGAGAGGAACGCTGTTACACCGGATACGGCTACACTGCCATGTAGCTCATTTCAGTCTCTCACAGTTGCCGCCCTGATGACTTATGTCTGACACTCAGTTTGGGCTTGACAGCGGTTAAGAGCTCGTGCAGATCATGTGCTCGTTTAAGCACAAAAAAAAAGGAGGAGGGAGAGGGGGACTGCGCTGGTAAGCAATCATTCCAAAGTGAGTAAAGTTTACGAAGAAAACTATGAATGCACAACACGTACCTAAATGCACAACTGCTACTATATGACGCCAAGAATAAAACAACACTCCGATCAGTGAAAGCATTCAAAGTGATTCAAGCTGCGTAAGCTCAAACAAAACTGTTTGGCGGAAAATATATGATGAACGTCTTTCTAAAAAAGGTAATATTCAATGCCAATAAACATGTTTTTCATTGTGAAAATTCAGCGGGAATCTTATTTTACGGACAACTCTTGTAGTTAGAATAAAAGGCCAAATTTCAATTCGCCATATGCAGGGAAAGAATGCGAGTTACTACACAACTTCCCTTGTGCATTCAATACAATACACACCTGTCGCTCGGCATGGTCGGCCTGCCAGCCTGAGACATGTTCAATGAGTGAGTCGTTGTAGTAGTTGACCAATGAGGGGGTGAGGCTGGGAGCTGAGGGCTTGGGCACTGTAGATACAAGCGAGCCTGCGTTGCTGAGGCTGTGCAGACTGCTCACACTGGAGGTTGGGCTGTCTCTCCTGCACACCCCACAGACCATTGAAAGAAACATTGCTCATCACCAACATGCAGCTGGTGAGTGAACACTGAGTGTGGGCAGCACTGAGTGTGGACACCGCACAAATCGACATTACATAACATCCGCACATCTCAACCTGCGTTGTCCACAGATGACAGCAAAACTTCCTGCGAGATAAGGCAAGTGCAGCTGGCCAGAGTGGCTGAGTCATATATACCACTATCAAATATCATCACTACCACAGGTCGACAGTTGGATCCAGTTGAGGCTGCCATCACGCATCGAATTCTACGCACCACTTCTGGTGTCACAAAACTTGGAACGTGCTTGCTATACTGGTGATTAAAATGCCTGATGGAAACAGAAAAGTCTTGCAGTAGCCTGCATAATAATGGCCACTACCTTGTGGCACAGGATTCATCAGAAAGAGGTGAGACTTTGAATTTGTGTCTACTGCCTTCATTGTTTTTCAAACATGTCTCACTGCTTGAGCAAGCATGACACACGCTGAAAGATTTCTATAGCCTCTGCAAATAATTCCATATCACATTATTTTGTGTTTTGGTTCCAGGACGCTGAGTTGGACAGTGACATCACTGTGCAGAATAGGAAGCATGACAGTGTGAGCCCACAAAGCCGTGATGCACACACTACTGCAGCATTTGCACACATGCATGTTGCAGGAAACTGCATAAATAAGTTTCCAGCAATGCAATCATGCGTATGACATTAGTAAAAATTTGTGTGTGAAGATGCCACTTGGTAGCACAATCCCAGGCCAACAAGCTTCCCTTGTTTGCAAGCTGTTCACACTTCTCATACACTGTAAAATGCATGCTTGTTTCCTCACCTTAGCCTGCCTGACTGCTCCTAATTCAATTTATATAATGCTAGCTAAGTGTGGGCTAACAAATTCTCAAGGGCTGCTGACATGGCTGTGCTAAGGCACCAACCTGGCTGAGTGAGCACTGTAGTCAGAACCAGGTGAAGCACCACGTCGGTTGACATCCACCAGAAGCTTGTCAGCTGGCACCAGTTGCTGCTGCAGGGGTGGCAGGCTGCGGCCAGGATGCACCACCTGGTAGGGTGATGAACTACTGGCAGCCTCCCTGTTGGTCGACTCCACCTGAGCCGCTGCACCATTCATTTCAATGTTTTTGCACAGCGGCACTCAGTACTTTACTGAGACAAGATTAATTGGTAAGCAGCGATTATCACAATGCTGATGAGAGTGGACGGCGAAAGGACTTCCTCAACTGCATCACTCACTTTGGAGTCTTTTCTCATCCACACCACTTCAATGACGTGGTCCCAGTAATTCACCAATACACCATTTTTTCAGGGAAGGTTCCCATATAAGCTCGAATAACTATCACAGAGCCTGTGCAGTGCTACCTACAGGAATGCTCATTCTGATGAATGTCTGGACTTTACATCTCCACATAGCAGTGAGACGCATCACTTCTACATTTCTTCTTTTTAAATAGGCAATAATTTCTGACCATATCTGATTATGCATTATCAAAAATTCTTCAACATAAATGTTTGCCTTCATGATTAAATAAAACATGCCAAAGCATAAATAATAGAAGCCACAAACAAACATGGTACTACGCTGATTACGTGGAGCCAAAAGCACCATTGTAAATAATTTTTTAAGAACTTTGAAGCCCTAAGTAGAATTCTCACTTTTACATTGTTCTGCAAATTGTTTTCACCCAAAGTGGTTATTTTTATGCCTTGGGAAGACAGATTTTACCAGTTTGAAAAGTAATGCAGCATGCATTGCAGCCCACTAAATTATGCACAATGAAATGCTCTTTGCAAAAATGCAAGTTGTAGAGCAACGAAAATAACTTGGAATGAATAAAAATGAAAATTGTGTTATTTTGGTGACCGGCTGGTAAACAGTGCAATAAAAGCACGACAAACAAAAACATCCAAAACAAAGAAAAACAATAATATATATTTTGAAGATAAATGACCTAGAAATAGTAAAAAAAACCAACAAATGTTTTACACAATGCTTCTATAAACAGAGACAAAGAAAACCTGAACTGAGGTGCTGCTGCAATGCTCGTGCTACGTGGCAAAGCATTAGTTGGTTTTTCGTGACACAAGTGAACTCATGAACTTCTCCCAGTATTTTTGTTTATTTTTAAAAACAATAATGAGCCTGCAGGTATTCCAATATAGATGAATGCCAGTGATGTGAACAATCCCTCTTAAATCTAATGTCCAATGAACTTCACTAGGTTGTCTAGCATCACCTCATTCCATAGTCACCTCTCTCCACATAAGTTAGCCTTTCAACATCTGCATGCAAGCATATTTATTTGTATTTCTGCAGATAGTATTGAAAAAGAACAAAAAATAACACCTTGCGCAGTCCTGAAATGTCTTGTGCCACTCCGTCATTGACCATCGCATGGGGCACACTTTGTTCCCTCAACTATAAGGTCCCAAAGAGCATCGGTGTCAATCACAGTGATCAACACGTGGTCATTCATGAAGAGCTGATAACGAGGCCATCGCAGGCAGTGTGTATGGAACCAATGACACTGAGGAACAGGGCACAAGCCATGAGGAGCAGAAGACTAACAGGATGTGTTGGATGATTCAGATGCTTGCCAGAACACAAGATGATTTTAATGTGGAGTACTTGCTGCATAATGAAGATCCATACATTTACTAGGTATCAAGGGTCCACAATAAAGCTAACTTTCCATTTTGCTGACCATTTCCCTATATTTACTGCGTCATTTTGAGTTGACAAAACTGTTGCAACAACAAAATTTTTCTGATTCCTAGCCAGTTTCGTGATTGCAGCATTTAACTGTACCATACTATCACGGCAAAAGTGCCATGAGTAAGAAGATTTTGCACAAAGATGACTTCCTTCTGCACTAGTATCTGCTTATCGTGTTCTCATTGTGCATTATAAAAAACTAAAATGTTTGCTCTAGGTCATTTCTAGATTTTCAGCTGCTGCCACCAAATATTCCAAATCCAACTCTGCAACCTCTCAGATCAGTGATTCGACAAGGAAGCCCTTCCTGGCAATCTCGACAATGTTGTCACTGATCTCAGGGGCATGCGTTTGAAATATAGAATGAGAGGGTGCAGGGCAACCTAACAAACATGACTTAATTAGAGCTGTGCGAAGAACAAAATTTCGAAGCTAATTCGAATATTGAAGTGTGAGTACAAATCAGATAAAATATTTCTTGTATATTTCTAGAATATTTTTTGAACAGTTCAAAGCAAAGTGCAGGGAGAAAAGTTGGAGAGGATCCTTAAGTATATTCTTATGAGATATAGCAATATGAGTGTGTTTCTTTTTGCTGGGTAGGTTGATCAAGTGCTGATGGGGTGTTATTTCACAGTTGTCTTATCAAGCATAAGGCAATGAAGAGGCCGCAATGTATTAATTAATACATGATTTGGTGCAGACAAAATGTTACCAACAACACTTAACACGTGAAAGGCAAAAATACTACTTCCTCTCCTCCTCTTTAAACTTCTTTAAAAGCGCGACTGATGTGGCAGACGAGGTCGTGCTCCCTTCAAGTTAGAAATGGTATCTGCTTCGCAGACGTCAACATACAGGAACATTTCAGGTTTTAGATGCTAAAAATCTTTGGCATTGAATTTTTTGCACTTCCTGTTCAAATTTCATTTCCAAAAGGGCATTAATGAAGCCCCAACCTCTGGCACACCTATCATCTCGATGTTGATAGCAGTGTTTTATTGAGTCAATACATTGGCGACCATGGAGACTGTACGGCAGCTTTAGCACAATACAAAAGTGTAATGAGGTGAAACATACTGAATTCTTTAAGGGATCATTTAAAACAGATGTTCACTGTATGTCTTTTTAAAAATGGACCACAGCATAACTTGAAAGGCAGCTTTGCCACAATAAAAGAATGCGATGAGGTGAAGTATATATACTGAAAATCTGAAGGCATCACTTTCAATTAAGTGTTGAATGCATTTGTCTTTGGGAAGTTAGAACAGTTCAAAAAGTGAAAATTCTAGTACAAATAGAATTGCATAACAAGCCCTAGGCAAAAAATACTCGAAATTTAAAATATTTGCACACCCCTAGATGTATTCACACATTAAATATAGAACAAAACACATAGCACACTATGAATATCAATATACCTAAGAAATACATATTTGAACTACCCAACTGGAAAAAATATTATTAAGTTCCCTAACCAGTTATCTTAACCTGAGCTAGCCAACGTTTGCCTCGAAGTCAAGGGTACAGTGGAATGTTTTTACTCGTTAATCGACTGGATTTTCTCCAAGTCCAGACTTTAGCCGCACTTTGTCCAGGACTGCTGGTACAAACGTGCATAAACGCATCATCATTATCCTTGTTGCAGTCAGTGTAGGCCCCCTTTGCTTTCATGCCTCACTCATATACACCGACAAGGTCATAATCCTGTAGAGTTACAGGCACAGTAGGTGCCCGTAGTAAGTACCCGACACTTGCTTTATGTCCCATTACTGCCCAGCCTTTAAAGAGGGCCTGCTGCTGCGAGTCTCCAAACCACTTTAAGAGGCTGCAGCACCACCGACAAGTGTCGTAGTGGATGACGGCCACGCCTCGGATTGCCAGCGTTATGACCTTCCAAAATCAAACAGTGAAGAGCTGGCAAGCCAACTTTTCTTGACCAAAGACATGCCTGGAGTGTGTAATGGGTAGGAGGTCGACGACAGGTACGGCCGGCTTCTTTACGGTAGCTGGCTTTCCGTCGTCGTCTACATAGCCGATGCTCGCCAGTGAGGAGACGCGTTCTTGGAGACAGAACGAAGGATTATTTACACGATGGATGAGAAAACACTGTACAGAAATTTCACCATTATATACAAATGTCTTCGGCTTTTATAGCCCGTTGACTCATACACACGGCAGTTCGAAGAAGGCGGTAACTAATGTTGCTGTGAATCAGGTGACAAATCAGTATTAGTAATCCACCCACCAGAAAGGGTGCAGAAATTGGGCCATTCATGAGAAGAAGAATGTGGGTGAAAATGTCTATTGGTTAGCACGAGCGCACCACACAATGACGCACCCGGCCTACACCTTGAAGACACTGCAGGGCGAGGAGATAAAGCTCGGTGGAGGAGAAAAGTTTATCACCTCCGGGGAGATGGCCACTGACACGAACGTCAACAATGGTCCAAGCCTGCGTTCAGCTACAGTGTTCCAGAAATTTCTCGAACACGGCAGTCCAGGTGCTCCATCTCTGAGAACTGCTACTGCGACGGCTTCCCATGCTTCCGAACTGTTGGTTCTTTGTCACGACTTCGCGTAGGCGACAATGGCTGTGTAGACCGAGATTGCGCTCAACCTGTTGGCTCGCAATCTCGTAGGTCTAGACTGGGTGAAGCTCAAATCATCGAATGCGCTCATCAGAGCTCTGTAATGACCAGTGGTGCCACCATGTCTCACGAGATGAGGAGGCACCGCTGAGGTGAGCAGGAGGGTATGATATGAAGGAGGGTATAACCATATATGATATGAGTATGCAGGAGGGTATGACCACAAGTTCAGCGTGTCGCTGAATTTGTGGTGCCAATGGTTTAATGATATTATAGCCTAAACGCCGACAAAACTTTAGAAATCTGATTCAGTGTCTCTTTAAAAGCACTAAATGGTGGAAGCGAACCTGTAAGTTTCAAAGTGTACTCACTTTGTGCTTGTTTCGTCAACTGGATAGCTTGCTGTAGGGTTCTAAATGCTGGAAAAAAAAAAAAGAAGAAGAAAGTCTTAAACTACCTTTATAGACTTTCAAACATTATGTGTCCTCCCCCCTCTTTACCCCCGGACCAACACTCACAAGGAGCCAAATACACTTGGGGTTTACAGTGTTTATGCAGAGGTTCCCGGAACAGGCATCTTTAAGCAATTTTTAGTACAGACATCACGTTAATACGAATAAAATAAGCTCTCTAGCCATTTTTACTCCAAATGGTAAAATTAAAAACTAAAAACTGGCCCAACGTGCCAGCACCTGAATGTGATACCCCACAGCCTACACCTGGTCCACACACCAGAAAGAAACAACGTTGTGGCACAAGCCGTGTGCCACCTGGTGAAAGCCCCAGTGCACGAATGCTACATAAGAAAGCAGAAACTAGACTTACACTTCCTCCGTAGGCAACTGAAGTACCAGATGCCTGACATATTCGAGTCCCTGGATGCATTCGCAAAAAATGCCGCTGTGACCACAGACCAAATTAAACAAACATCCTTAAAGAACAAACTCACGGCACTGAAGAACAGTAGAGAGCAACAGAACGACAGCAAAATCTGCAAAAGCAACGTTAATCTTTCATCCAGACACTATCAGAGCAAGAGGTAAGCGTTCTGTCTAAAGGACATAATTTCAATACAACTCCATCTCTGCCCCAAATCATCACAGCTATTGAAGATGGCATACAGCACCTAGATAGATGTGCAAGAGACAACGTAAAACTCAAAATTAGCAGCATGACCACAGGAGAACCTAACAAAAAAAAAAAAAAAAAAAAAAAAAAAAAAAAAAAAAAAAACTCTGAAAAGACCCAACAATAACCATCCAGCCAGCAGAGTAAGGCAATTGAACCGTTATACTTGATCAAAAATCACATGAAGACAAGATAAAAAAACCTTCCAATCCATGAATAAGTGAAACTCGCGCGAGACCCTGTAGTGTACGGCAGTACCACTGGATGGCTCTACTATCAATGCAGTTTACAACAGTACTGCCAGATGCAGCATTTACTAGTTTTCATAATAAGGGCTGCCAATAAAACATGACGTCACTTGTCTGCCTGTATACTCTGATGTCGTGTCATTACTCCCCGGATGCGCTCAACATGGAGTCAGAAGTGGGCAGAATTCATCTCCGCTGATCCCACGCTTGCATCCTCATGACAAGGCCCCGCTGCCGCTACCAGTGCTCCGCCATGACGACTAGTGGTGCCGAGGGCTCTGCCGAGACGCTGAATTCGTCGGCCACTCTGTTTCTACCAGACAGGGCTCAGGCACGTCCACTATCACCGTTTGACTTCGGTAGCTCGTGGCCCACATAGCTGCTGCAGTTCGAGGACTTCTAATTCGCAACTAGACTTTACGTTGCTCCGGCTGAGCTAGAAGTGCACTACATTCTCCAGTCTTGGGCAGTAACTTGAAACTGTAGCCCTGTTACTTTTTTACACAGTAACTGTAATGAAAAATGCCATTACAGTTACTTTTATTTTTGTAAAATGCCAGGCCGGCCGATCGTCTTCGGAACTAGGGATACTAAAGTAAGAGACAAGCTGCTAGCAGACAACAAGCTTACCTTGGAAAACGCCGAGAAAACTTGCAAGGCGGCAGAAATATCCGCAGTACACCAAGAAGCTTGGGGTCTAGACACGAAGCAGGATGACCCGGTGTGCAAACAAAGCCACGTGGCACGTACTGACAGGCGCAAAGACTACAAGTGTCTGAAATGCGGACGAACACACGAGCTGCGTAATTGCCCTGTGTTTGGAAAGGCATGCAGAAAGTGCAAAAAAAAGAACCACTTCACAGGTTGCTGTAGGGCGAGCGCTAATATCGACGAACTCGAAGACGACTTTGACGTCCTCGAGATTTCGGTAAACAAAATCAACAGGAAACAGGACTGGACTGTAAAAGCACGCGTAAACAATGCGTCGGGGCAACTCAAAGTTAACTGAAGCTAACCCTGAAGCTAGGGATCTGAAGCTACCTTGCTGCCCTTCGGACCTTATAAAAAAAATGCACCCGAAGCCACATCAACCAAGCAGTGCTGTCTTGCGTTCGTATGGTGGGGGTATGATTAAACACTTGGGTGTTAGCAGGGCAGAAGTAGAAATTGACAGTCGCAATACCATAATGGACTTCTTCATCGTACGCACGGACATCAAGCGATACTTGGCCTGCAAGCATGTGAACAAGCAGGATTCCTGTCCTGATGAGTTCACAGGGTATCTGAAAATAGCTCACAGAAAGTGGTTAAAGACTTTCCACACTTGCTTTCTGGCGCAGGCTGCATCCAGCGACGCTACTGGATGGTGTTCCGCGAGGGAGCAAAACCAGTCGTCCAAACAACTCGCCGGGTGCCCCTGGCCCTACAGGAACCACTCAAGGAAGAGCTACAGCGCATGCAGCGAGCCGGAATAGCCGTCAAAGCCAAGGAACCTACATATTGGGTGAGCCCACTTGTTCTTCTATGAAAGAAGGACGGCAAGCTGCGTGTTTGCATTGACCCTCGAAAGATTAACGAAAATCTAAAACGGGAGCACTACGAAATGCCTCGCCGCGAAGATATTGAAGCAAAACTCGCAGACGCCGTAGTCTTTTCATGATTAGATGTGAACTCTGGGTTTCATCAAATCCCGTTAGATGACGAAACTTCGAGGATTTGTACATTGTCAACACTGTTTGGACGTTATTGGTTTTTGAGGTTGCCATTTGGCGTTTCGTCAGCGCCAGAGCAGAGGTCTTTCCGCAGACGCTCAATGAAATTTTTGAAGCAGTCCCTGGTGTAAAAGTGTATGTTGACAAGATATTAATCTGGGGTATATTACGACGCTTCTTGATGACAAAAAAACACATGGTTTATTTACATATTTACAGGTGTTCAATTGACTAAGAGTCATGACGTGTCTTTGCATGAGAGACGACAGGCCGAAACAAAGGCCATGAAGGAGAGCACACAGCGCACAAGCGACCCTCTTTTTATATCCCCCGGTCCGTGCACGCGCTTGTAAAACGCGGACTGCATGTCCCACCGATGCCGATGCGCGTACGCACACGGACATTGCTTGCGTTCCTGCAGGATGCGTACCGCATTTGGACGGTATGCCAATGAGCGCCCCTGGAGGCCATGTCCTTGCCCTGCCAGTCATAACACTAGATTGTGCGATAAAAGCATTTCTCCCTGGAGCGAACGTGTTTATTCTCTTACGCTAGCGTTTTGTAGTTGTGAGTGTCGTGATGTCAGATGCAAAATAGTTACCTGTCAGCCTTTGTAATGTCACGGGGGTCATGATGTCGACAAAGGCAGCAGCCGCTGGTTTCATGAGAACTTATTTGGGCTAACCTGTGCCAGGAAAACGAAAAGCCACTCTACAAGCAACACACGCTGTAGACTGATAGCAGCCAACATAGAACGTCAGCCGTCGCTAATCTGCCACGCAGCAAAGTGCGCAAGTTCCAGAACAAACTGTAATGTACGCATTGTGCGCATAATCTCATCGGAAGGTTCTAAAATTGTCTAGATGGTGCCCAGCCATTCAGGCACGGTTTGCGCAAGGCACGCATAATGATGCGGTAACAAAAATAGAAAGAAAGGAGAGCATGCAACTTTACCAATACACCATTACAAATAGTTGCTATTGCAGTCATCTCTTTGTCGGTGACACTTATTTTTATTGTTATAGTTATTATGGCAAAAAACTCGCTGCACTGTTGCTGAGCAACTGCTGAGCCCGAGATGTGCTCGGCGGTTGCTCGGCAATGGTACAGCGTGTTGTTTTTTTCCCACACCACTGCCATCTTTACAGTTTGCGTAAGAGCTTTGCTGTTACTAATCTGACAGGGACGCGGTTGTGTCTTTTGTATGGTCCGCACGTGTTACTTTGTTAATGATAAAACTGAACTGAATTTAGTGTTGCACGCGCAAATTTCCGTTTAGACGCAGCTTGGCACCGCAGGTCAGATTGTCGCAGAATGGCGCAATTGGCGCAGCACTTCCACCCCTGCTCATTCTTACCGTCTCTGTGTTTCTCCTTTGAGGCCTTCGGTATCAACTTGTTTGGCCCTTTTCTGTAGCCAATCACTGGGGACCGCTGGACTGTAATCCCCTCACTCGTTACGCTGAAACCACCGCACTCACCGCCGCAACAGCTCACCACGTTTCTTACTACGCTACATCATTCTGACAGATGGGTCCTCTCGTGCCATTATCAGTAATTGCGGCAGACAGTTTGAAGCAAACGTCATGGAAGAGCTGCTTCGCAAGTCTGCTTCCCAGTTTTGACACGTCGCTTCATACCACCCACAGACTAACAAACTGACTGAACGCCTCAACAGAACGTTCATTAACCCGCTTGCTATGTACATCGACTCTAAGCACAAAAACTGGGATCCGATTTTACCTTTTATGGCATACGCCTACAATACTGTCCTCCATGAGAGCACCAGTTTTAGCCCGTTCTATCCGCTCTACATCTGTCCACCATGCACAACTCCTTGACACCATTCTCCGTTTTCGGAGCGGAAAAAGCCACCTCTTGGTGCAGCACTCTGTCGTGCAAAGGAAGTGATGTGCATCAGGCGTCTCCGGACTATTGCAACCCAAAACCCTTGGAAGGCTCCCCACCATAAGTGACATCTACATGTCTGTTACATCAAAGAATGTGGCTGTGGGTTCCATACTACAAACGTGGCTTAACAAAAAGTTTCTGACCTGCAACACGGCTCCCTTAATCATTTTGTCGTGCCTTAGCGACGTTACGTACATCGTATCACAGCTCACATCTACCTGTCGTCACTCCAGAAAAACTGACTTTGTACATGTTGCCCGTTTGAAGATATATCGTGCTCACAATACTGACTGACTCGCCCTGTGGGCATCGTCTGCACTGTGGCAACTGATACCGTACTTTGGACGAAGTGTAGAAAAGGAGGAGGAAGTGCAATTGGATTATTGCTGGGCTAAGCCTTCCGCGACCATCTATCACCTCG